GGGAGCGCTGCCACACTCCCAAGCGGCGCACTGTAGCAGTGCGCCACTGGGCGGCCCAAGAATTATTTTTCTTTAAAAAAGGAGTTATTTTAATCTACTTGCTTTTAAACTGGAAGCCATTTTAAAGTATTGAAGATAAAATTTGAAAATTGAAAGGTCTTACTGGCTACTGGTGAGTAGGATGTGGCAGTGACATCTAAAGTGGCATCATTCTGTTCTACAGGAAAGTCTGTGCATGTCTTTAATATCGGTACTTGCCTCTGGGATGACACTTGTCAGATTTCATGTCACGTGCTATTTCAAAATTAGGATAGTGATTTTTTATTACGTAATTACAATATTCAACTTATAATTTTAAAGTAAGTTGTTATAAAGTCCCGTTCTTACTGTTTTGCTGACTTCCAGGTGTACTGAGATCACCTGATTCTGTTTTAGTTTTAAAATATAGAATTCCGGAACATGGTGTGATGAAGGTGTGCACCTGCTTATTTGACCTTGAAATGACTCCTGTGAACAGTAACTATTTGCTTGTGTCTTGATGAAAATGGGAACTTGCTTGTTCCCGGGTGTTCGGGAATGACTTGACTCAGAGACTAGCTAATAAATAATAGGAAACAACCTTGGAGGTTCTATGATGCTAGTATAAGGTGGAACCATCCTCCAGCTCTCTGCCTCAAAGGAGAAGCAGATGAGGCCCAAAGAGATATCTCTGGCCACCTGCTGCTTTTTAAAAATCTCCCAGCAGGATTTCTATTTAGGCTGCAGTTTTGTTTACAGTCATGGAAAGATTAGATGTAGGAGAATAACCTATTCTGTCCAATCAAGTGGGCTAAAGGTATAAGGAGAGCCGGCTGGGTTTTCTGCCCTCACAGAAGGAACACACATTTATACAACTATAGAGGCCAAGGAAAAACTTCCTCTTTACCCCTGAAGTTTCTCTGAGAATCAACTGAGAAAACACAGGTTAATAGAAGAAATGGCAGAACAAGTTTATAGGATCATAGTTTTACTTGACCCTAAGCCTTCAGAATGAAGACCCAAAGTTACGGGAGAAACTGTCCATTTTTTGTGCTCATATTCTATGAAGTAGAGAAAGCCATGTAGAAATGTGATTGGAAAAAAAAAAAGTATAATCTAATGCAATAGACTTTGTGACTCTCCGTGTAGCATGCCTCTCTCCAGGCAGTACCCTTTCCGGCACAGGGGTCTTATGACCTATAATCAGACATGGTTACGTCAGACAATTTCTTTGTGGACAGCTACAAAACAGAAAAGCGAGGGAAGGATTGGAGTATATTTTTAGTCTTACTTATGGCTGGCTTTGGGGAGAGGATGGCCTGTTTTTGTTTTCTAGGACCCCTAAGACTCGCCTTGGGGAAGAGGGATTCTAGTTTCTATGGCTTGCTTCAGGGGAGAGAATGAGGCTGAGAGACAGGACGGTCAGAGAAAAACATTGCTTTTGAGGCTGCTTCTGAGGTCTGCTTTAAGAAATTGCTTTCTGAGCCCCAAACAGCACATCTGAATCAAGGTAGACCTAGAATTATGGGGTATACATAGATTAGAAAAATTTATACTAGGATAACTGAAGAGCTGTCTAATAAATGATAAAGAAAATTTAAAATATCTAGAAAGTTATCTGTCTACATTAGGTTTCCAACCTGTATGCCCACCTTGACCTCCAGCACACACCCTGCACAGCTACAGTCACATTGACCTCCTCTGCTGCTCTCATCCCTCTATGCTCCTTTTCCTCTAAATTCTACATGGCTTGGTCGCTCTATAGCACTTTGGACCTTCACATCATTTGATTTTTTTTTTTTTTTTCAAATTTGGAAGAGGCTTAGTTGCATTTTCTAAAAATCAGATAATTTGTGATTAAGATAATTATTATGGGGGTGCTTTGGGACTGTCATTGAATGAACAAGTGAGTATGTCTTTTGTTTTGTTTTGCATTTTAAGAGATGAGGTGTCTCAACTGGGAGCCCACCAACCATTGGACATTTTGTCATCCCCTTCTTCCCACAATTCCCTGAGCTATTGCTTTTGCTGGAGACATGGCTTAGCTGTACCAGTGCAAAGAGGTTTATTTATTTATTTGTTTGTTTGTTTGTTTAATTTATTTGTGTGTGTGTGTGTGTGTGTGTAAGTACTCAAGTTGTGGGGTTCTTTTGCTTTTATTATTTATTTATTTATTTATTTGTTTAATTAATTAATTAATTTATTTTCTTGGTTATGACTATTCATGAGATATAAAACTGATTGTCACCCCTCGTGCCCATGACATGAGGGCCAGATTCATACTGGCAACATACACATTACCACAAATTGCGTTTATACCCCGTGTCCCCCACCCAATTATCCACCAGCTCCATCTCCCTCCCCATTTCCCCCAAACTCCACTTTGTAGCCCAAGGAATGTTCTCTCCATCTGCAAGTCCAATGCACTACTGTGGTCTTTCTTTCCTTCCTTCTTTCTCGCTTAGCTCCCACTTATGAGTGAGCACATGCAGTATTTATCCATCTGTGCTTTGCTTATTTCACTCAACGTAAGTTTCTCCAGACTCATCCGTGTTGTTGCAGATGGGAGTATTTCATTCTTTTTTTTTTTTTGGCAGAGTAGTATTCCATGGTCTATATATACCACAGTTTCCTTATCCAATCATCCGTTGATGGACATTTAGGTTGGTTCCATGTCTTGGGTATTGTAAACAGATCTGCGATGAACATGGAAGTGCAGGTATCCCTTTGACGTGATGATTTCCATTCCTCTGGGTATATACCCAGAAGTGAGATCACTGGATCATATGGAAGATCTATCTGTAGTTGTTTGAGAAACCTCTTTATTGTTTTCCATAGTGGTTGTACTAATTTACAGTCCCACCAACAGTGTAGGAGTGTCCGTTTCTCTCCACACCCTCACCAGCACTTGTTATTCATCGTCTTTTTGATTATAGCCAGTCTAACTGGGGTGAGGTGGTATCTCAATGTAGTTTTAATTTGCATTTCCCTGATGACTTATGATGTTGAGCATTTTTTTATGTACCTGTTGGCCATTTGTATGTCGTCATTTGAAAAATTGTGGGGTTCTTTTGGAGTAAGTTTATCAGTTTCAAAATAGTGATATTCACCTGGTGCTATGATATGTTAAAACCAAGTCTTATCTAATTTGAAATTCCACTGAGAAATGTAGATTTGCTAGGAACCTTTAAAATGTATATTTTGGAGATATAAGTGGAAATAGTACTGTTAATCTAAACCCAGTCTTTTAATATATATTATATATAACACATTTACTTCTATCACCAGGGGAAAGGGTACTGGCACAGAGAAGAGAGGAACTCTGCTCTAAGGAAAACTTTGTAGCCAGTTGCCTAGAGAAGAAGACCAACTATCTTGTGGATTTAATTAAATATAGCATTTTACTCTCAAAAGATGTGGCCCAAAGGGCTTGATTTATTAAAAAAGAGAACTGCACGGGAAAAAAAGACAAGTCTGTTGGACAAAGTGGTATTCTCTACATAGAATCAAACGAATCCAGTCTATCAAAAGTTCACATTTTGGTTCACACTGTCTCTTAATGTTATGTGTTGTTGGAAAACCTGTAACTGATGCATGAGTGTGCTCTCTCTGTTCAAACTGTTTCTAATATATAATTTCCTTGTCCAGTGTTCTTTCAATAAGGGTACCTAGACCTTTGAGGATATTTTGTCAGAATGATGCAAACGAAGGTGTGGACTATTTATTTATTAAGTGATATTACACTGCAATGCCTACCTACCACATTTACTGTAATAAGGACAATGTGATTATTATTTTTCTGGCAAAATGGAACATTAAGTTTAAATAAGCAGTAGTAAATAATGAGTAACGAAATAGGGATAGTCCTCCACTGAGATATGTTTTTTGTGAGGTTACATTTTTAAAGGTTTTCACCTGGAAAACTTCCTGACCTAAGAATCGCCCTGCCCACCCTCCCTCATTCCCTCCCTCCCCCCTGTTAAAGGCTTCCCTCAAACACACAATAAATAAACATTAATAAATATACACCTCTTTAAAGATGATTTTCTATCTCAATGTGTCTTTCCAGTACCCCCTTGTTCCTCCAAAATAGTACTAGGAAAATATAAACTTAGGAAAATATATATCACTGCTTAAAAAAAAAAAAATCTCAGAAGGCACAGGTAAAAGAATCCATTAGGGAGTAAAACACACTGGAGCCTCCTAACAAAGGATTGGGGCATGAAAGATCCATGTGTTGAAAGAATGGCACTACCTCGAATTTCTCAGACTACCCTCTGTAGGAAGTGAGGAGAAAGAAAGGATCAGACAATTGCCCAGCATCCGTGTACTCCATGTGGACTTGAGCAGTGCACCTGCTTTTGAACTCTCAAGCTTCAATCTCAGCCTCCAGGGTTCCCACTTCCCTTGTTATGTGCGAACCTTTCCTTGTAGATACCTGGTGGGGACTGTGTTAATAAGACACACTGTAGAAAGAGAAAACACATTTTCCCAGCCAAGAAGGCGAGAGCTACTCTTTTCTAAGGCCCTTGTTAATCTTTAGGAGCCCAGCTTATTCTGTGGCAGAACAAAGGCAATACAGGTGTCAACTCTTATTTTTTCCCTCCACTCCACAAAGAAAATGTTGGTGATGTGTTAGCGTCCAGCTACATTTCTCTTAAGAGAAGCAACAGAATATTTCCTCTTTCTGTCCTGAGGTTTTAGAACTTTATTCCCCTTGCTTTTTAGCATCATTCTAAATAGAATTCCACTGTTTGAACACAGCCAGAATTAGTTTGAATGGTACCTGTTATTGAAAGGGAGTCTGTATTTGCAGTAATACAGAGAATACCAGTTTAGAAATGAGCCTGATTGCATGGTTCATTTTGTTCTCCTTTGTAGAGCCAGGCTGCGGCCCACTACAAAGGCACGAAACATGCCAAGAAGCTCAAAGCACTGGAAGCCATGAAAAATAAGCAGAAATCTGTAACTGCCAAGGACAGCGCAAAGACTGCCTTCACCTCCATCACTACCAATACCATGAATACCAGCTCTGACAAAACAGGTTAAGCGATGATCTTTGTTGTTGTTGTCGTCGTCATTGTTTGGGGGTTCCCTGCCTTGTCTAACCCCGTGTCTGTTTACTTATGTGCCTGCCACATTGATTCATGCTGGAACCATCTCTTGGTATAATGGTAATTGTTTCCCTTCATTTCTCCAATACCTTTAAGAGATCAAGATTAGTGCAAGTTATAATACAGATTTTGCATTTTGCAATAGTCCTGTGGCCGTTTTAGAAGAACTCAATAGTCGTGAAAGGCATTTGAAGCCATGTGCCCCTAACCCTTTTTGAGAGGCGAACCTCTTCAGTGTGTATCGTTTGCATCTTGTGTGCAGCACCTTAGCTTATAACTGCACGGCAGATTTGATTTAACTGAGAGTGCACTGCAAAGTACACCGAATGAATTGAGAAGGCCCCGATAAGGGCATTACTGCTGACAGGCTTGATTCTCATAAATTCCAAACATCGCATTGTTCTAAGTGGTGAGTGGGTGCTTCTGAGCTTGTTATGGCTGGGTAACCTTCCCTCTGCATACACAGGTAAGTGTTATTGATACCAATTATTCTTTTTAACAGAGTCTTCACAGTGGAATAATGGCCTCTGAATGGCCCCTTGGGAAAGCTGCTGTAAACAACCAGCTTATTCACTGCAGGGAAAGACAATGGGGTTTCCTTAAGCTGGCATTTTAAAATTTAAGACCACTAGTCCTCAAAATTTATGTAAAAGAAAGCCATGTGTGATTCATGGATGTATCTCTAGTAAACCACTTTCTAGAACACAAGGGCTAGTACATGTCAATTGTTTTCCAGTTCGTACAAATGGCAATGTGAGAAAATGTTCATATTACCACCTATGGCAATGTTTTAACTAGGAGAGAATATTCTCACCATGACTGATGAAAATACAAAGTGCTAAACAGTGAACAAATTGAACAGATTTAAACAATGTTGTAATACATGTTAGCATCCACTGGACACATAAGTTCCTCCAAGGATCTGGAGTGATGCTTACTCCTATGTAAATCTGTAAGGGACAATGATATTTTCTCTGAGTTCCTCTGGCATGCTGTGTGACCTATATCCTGGTATTATTGATAGAGGCATCATGCCCCCCTCCCTGAGAACCCTGTGTACTCCCTGAGGCTAAGTGCACCTGTCATCTTTGTACCCTGGCACGTGGTCGGGCATGGTATAGGTGCTGAGTAAAAGGCCTATTGAATGACTAAATCTTCTTTCACCACTTTGGTTCTCTGATATATCCAAGTTTGTGCCACTACATACTCATGGGCAAAAAAAAGGAAGTGCTTGTCATATTCGCCTCTGTAGTACCTAGAGCAAGCGCTGGACCATGCCATTTTATTAATTTAGATGTAAAATCTTACAGGAAAAGCATTCATGTTTTCTCTAATAATTGAAGACTCACTGCTTCATTTTGGGGGGCTGTAGGAGAATGAGTGCTAATGAAGCAGGTGAGTATAATTTCTACTCCCAGATATTGGGGCACGGATAGGGATTCCCAAAGCCACACTAGACATAGAGAAATGCAGATATTTTTTAAATGCAAAGAAGATAGTAGGTAGTAAAAACAAAGAGATGTGTTTGGTAGAAAGGGTTAGAATAACATTTTTCCTTGCCCCCAATCTTTCTACTCCTAGACATTTTTAGCAAAAACAGCTGTTCGGGTTATCTTGACTCCTCTTTAAAATGCAAAAATCCTTGTTACATTAAGGATGTATGTCATTTAAAAATACATATGTGCATGGTGGGGAGAGCTGCTGACTTGGGTTAGGAAAGGCCCCCAGGTGTGTTGTCTTTGCTAAGTGAATGAGTTGTGAACACAAAACTCCATCCTTCAACTTAGACACTAGAATGTAAAACATCCCCCTGAGTCTGAGTCTCAGTGGATCCTTTGTTACAAGAGAAGCAGGCTTCTTCAGAATCCCTGTGGTATATTTCTCCGTGTCTGCCTAAACATCAAGGTTGTATGTTTTTAGAAGTTGAGTGGGAACAAATTTTGAGTTGGGCTGCGGAAGAAAACCTACATAACATAAACATGCCAGAACTTACCTATCAGGGAAATGGTGATGAAATGGTGAAACACACTTCCTTGCTGGAGCCAGAAAAGATTCCAAAAGGGCAGACTCCGTGTCTGCCTAAACATCAAGGTTGTATGTTTTTAGAAGTTGAGTGGGAACAAATTTTGAATTGGGCTGCGGAAGAAAACCTACATAACATAAACATGCCAGAACTTACCTACCAGGGAAATGGTGATGAAATGGTGAAACACACTTCCTTGCTGGAGCCAGAAAAGATTCCAAAAGGGCAGACGGGATGGGAAAATAAGATTAGTGCAGATATACTAAAACCAGATGAAGAAAGTAACGGGCATTGAGAAGGACATTGTTTTCCTATTCCATGGAGACCTATACCCAGGAAAAAAACAATTCATATGAGTTCAGAGACTAAGGATTCCAGCACACTCACCAGAAGTTTTAAGCTGAATTCTATCTTTAACTGGAATTTTCACAAAACTATGAGAAGGAGACCAAGAAAGCTCCATCCTTTTCATAGACCTTTGTCCCATTTGTATTGCAATGTAAACCAGAAGCACCGAGGCTGACAAATTTGAGTTTTCTTAAAACAATTATTTGTCCTTTTTATTACTGCCTGCTTCCCCATACTGATTAGGAGTACAACCCTGAAAACAAAATGAGTTTCTGAGCTAGTTTTCTAGAACAGTTAAATACTTAGCAGAAGGAGACAAGAATCTGAATCAAATATTGTGTATTTTTTAATAATTAAAAATTGTAACCCTTCTGCTTAATTCACAAGGATGTTTTATTATTTGTGGACTTATCCATAGAGCTGCATTAAATCACATTTTACTGATTTTACCAAATCACTTAAATAAAAATGAGCCAGTTATATATAATGTATATATAAACTAATTCAATTATATGAAAAAAAACCCCACACTAATTTGAAAAATGCTAAGCCTGCAATGCTTTGGTAGATGTGAATCTTCAGAGAGGGTTGGGGCAACAGTTGTAAAAAGGGCATGAAATGTTGTCAACTTGAATTTAAAAATGTGATTTAAGGGTTTTCTCTAAAATACAAGAAATAGATTACTTGTAAAAACAAATTTTTATTGCAAAATTACTTGATAAAAAAAGAATTTTGACAATTTCTCTTGAATTCCCAAATCATACATTATTAATATAAATAATAAGGTTTTAATTGCTGCCTTGGAGTAACAAAGACGTCTAAATGACCTATGGGATTAGCTCCTATTTATGAACTTTGTAATCTTGAGTGTTCCCCCCCCCCCACTATTTGTGTCAGTCTGCATGCTGGAGCAGAAGGTGATCTATCACCAACTGCTCATAGAAAGCCTACTGCAAGTGTCTCTAGGCAAGAAGGCATTCCTTAACAT